AAATGGATTCCATGTACACCAACCAAGTATGGACTTTGGTTGATGCACCCGAAGGGATCAAACCCATTGGGTGCAAATGGGTCTTCAAAAAGAAGACTGACATGGATGGTAAGGTGCAAACCTTCAAGGCACGATTGGTAGCAAAAGGATATCGTCAAATACATGGTATCGACTATGACGAAACTTTTTCTCCAGTTGTCATGATTAAATCCATTCGGATCTTACTTGCTATCGCAGCATACCATGATTACGAAATCTGGCAGATGGACGTCAAAACGGCTTTCCTTAATGGAAACCTCCTTGAGGATGTCTTTATGACACAACCTGAAGGGTTTTGCGCTCCTGAAGAATCTACCAAGGTATGCAAGTTGCAGCGATCAATCTACGGATTGAAGCAAGCCTCACGGAGTTGGAACATCCGCTTTCACGAAACTGTCATTGGCTTTGGTTTTGAAAGAAATTCGGATGAATCTTGTGTATACAAGAAGGTCAGTGGGAGTGCTGTAGTCTTCCTTGCTCTGTATGTTGATGACATACTGCTCATAGGAAACGATATTCCTACTTTAACCACCGTCAAAACGTGGTTGAGTAAGAATTTCTCTATGAAGGACTTGGGAGATGCCAGCTATGCACTTGGCATAAGGATCTATAGGGATAGATCACGGAAGCTGTTAGGTCTCAGTCAAAGTACATACATAGACAAGGTCCTCGCTAGATTCAGCATGTCTGAGTCGAAACGAGGAAGTTTGCCTATGGTCCAAGGCACGAGTCTTTCCAAGACTCGGGGTGTTTCCACTCCGGAGGAAGTAGAACGCATGAGAAATGTTCCTTATGCGTTGGCCATTGGATCCATCATGTATGCGATGGTATGTACGAGACCTGATGTCGCCTTTGCTCTGAGTGTCACGAGTAGATACCAGTCCAACCCTGGCGAAAGCCATTGGACGGCTGTGAAGAACATCCTTAAGTACTTCCGTAGGACTAAGGATGCCTTCCTGGTATATGGCGGAAAAGAAGAGCTTAGTATTATTGGATATACTGATGTCAGCTTCCAAGCTGATAGACACGACTTCAAGTCGCAGGCAGGGTATGTGTTTTGTTTTAATGGCGGAGCTGTTACCTGGAAGAGTTACAAGCAAGATACTACCGCTGATTCCACTACAGAAGCAGAGTACATGGCTGCAGCCGAGGCAGCCAAGGAAGGTGTGTGGCTCAAGAATTTTATTACTGAGCTTGGAGTGGTTCCTAGCATCAAGAACCCTATACCGTTGTTTTGCGACAACAATAGGGCAATTGCACAAGCGAAAGAACCTCGGTCTCACCAGAAGACCAAACACATCGTTAGATGTTATCACATCATACGAGAAATCGTTGCATGTGGGGACGTTGAGATTTGCAAGATAGGTACAGACGACAATATCGCGGATCCGTTGACGAAGGCTTTGGGAAAGCCTAAACACGAGAGTCATACGTGGTCCATGGGCATTCGAGAAATGCTTGATTGGCCTTAGGGCAAGTGGGAGATTGTTGTATTTAGGTGCCCTAGCGGAAATCAAATACCTATGTAACTGTACACTAAGGTTTCAGAATCCAATCCAAAAGGTTTGAATTTCAGTTTTCTGCCCTTAACAAGATTATTCAGATCTCAGAAAAGGGGCGATGGAATAACTTTCGATTTTTGATAAATCTTAGTCTAGTTCAGTGGATTAGCTCTTGTTTTGAGTTTGTTCTCCGAAATCCTGTGCTCACTCTTTGGAACCAAAGCTTTTGTGATGGAACTAGAATTTTCAGTTTTGATTTAGACTCAAATGATTCAAGTTTTTTTGTCAAAATTGTGGAGAGGCATGTTAATGGTCATACCTCTATTCATGTTCCTGAGGGTTGTAGTAGGTTTGGTTTTAGGTTCTTCCTTGCTCATTTGATTAAGGCAGGGCTTTGGTTTAAGCAGAACAAAACTACAGGAAAAGAGATTATTGGTTTGGTTCTTTCTGATAGCAAAACCACGGGTGAGACTATTTCCAACAATGAGGAGGCAGATGCACAACTGGATGTGAAAAGAACTGTTGGAAAGGACCTTGTGGCCCTATCTGAAGCTAAAAAGCCATGTTTAATAGCACAATCAATAGGTGCAAATCCTATTTGTGTCCCAGCTACTAGTTCTTCAATTCAGGACATGGCCGCTAAACTACCACCCACCTCTTTTCAAAAGGAAGAAACCACCAGTGCTGAAAGTCTCTATGCTAAGGATCTGCCTTCATCTTTTGATCTCAATAAAAAGAATAGATGTCATGAGCAGCAGAATTTGGATCTGAAGAATTTAACTGGGATAAAAGAACGAACTCCCGATTCTAAAGCTAGTGATCTATTTAGTTCAGCTAAGGGTGCAGTCAGGGCTTCGAGGACAAGTGAATCAGATCAGTGCATAACCAATGTAGCAAAAGACAAAGGTTTTGAACACCAAACTGGAATTACAGAGACCTCTACTATACATCCTCGCACAATTCCTAGTTGCGGTTCTCTAGTGACAAATGATCCAGCAGATAACTCAGGCTTAGGATCTGTTCACAATCTGGTTCAATGTAGTACTGGTGCACATCGCTCTGCTTGTGACAAACAACCTAAGTCAAGAGCATTGAGGTTACCTATTCAGTCAAAGCCTCCTGGAGCCCTCAATGTTCAGGCTCTTCCTTTCCGACCAGCTTTTCAAGGTTTATACCAACCTAAACCCATGGACCAGAGCAATCATGATGGATCAAATTCACAGAAGGGTAATAGGGATGGTAATGGTAATGGTATCCAGGTTAAACAAGGTAAATCACTTAAGGAGTTGAAGGCATTATCAATGCCAAAGGAGGAAGATACAGTTAAGGATACTCCACTAAGTATTTTAGACTTGAAATTGGCTTATGAATGCTCTAAGCCCATCAGCCTCATTGATTTTCCCTTGGTGGTGAATGGAAGAGAAGAGTCTCACTGCACGGAGGAGGGGAAAATAGAGGATAGTGATGTACAGCCCGAAGATGACATTGATAATGACCTTGCTTTTGTGGATGAGGATGCAGTATTCATGGGTAAACAAAGAAAAAATGAACAAAAATGCTAAGAAGAAATTTGGGCAGCCTACCAACGATAACCAACTTTTGATAAGTGGAAAAAGAAGCAAAAGAAGAAATAGATGAGCCCTGGATTGATGCTTATTATCTTTTCTTCCGTGGTGCAGTTTCTTCGTTACTAGTTTTTCAAGAATGGATCAGTTGCTTCACTAATCCAAAATGCTGGGTTCTTGTTGAATGTTGCAGTTACCTGTTTGCTCAATGTTGCAGTTTCCTGTTCAATGTTGGGTTCTTGTTCAATGCTGTAGTTTCCTATTCAATTCTGGGTTCTTGTTCAATGCAGTAGTTTCTTGAGATTTGGATCTTTATGTGGATGTGGTGGAATTTCTTAATTCTGATCTTTACAAGCAGAAGGGACAGAATGCAAGACCAGAATTCGGGCCATGCTTCTGTTTGGCTCTCGCTGGTAGTGAGTTTAATTATAGCGTTGTTTGCTAGTTTGTGGGTTGTATTGTTTCTCTTTTGTTTTGGTCTGTTTCTTTCTTTAGTGCTTTGCATTTTTCTTCGGTTGTTGCTTTGGCCCTGTGTTGGGGACGGCCACCCCCCTTTGTACCTTTTTCCTTTTAATGAATAAAAAATCTTGTTTGGAATATATATATATATATATATATATATATATATATATATATATATATATATATATTACTTTTATTTTCATCATTTTAATTATATGATAATTATTGATGTCAAAATAAAATGTAATGCATTTTAATATGCGATGGCCGAAAATATCAAAGGGAAAAATACAAGACATAAGATGTTTTAAAACTACAACTATTCGGCCATCACAAGGAAGAGAGAAGAAAAATCCTATTTTGTGTTCAAAGTTATTTTTCTAAAGTGTTAGAAATATACACAAAATATTATAAAGAAATATTTATAAGATAAATATTTTACTATATATTTATTACTCCCAAAGTAGTATTATTATAGTTTTTACTATCCTATATTAAACTTGCTAGCACAAGTTTAATCTTGGACTCCGGAGCAAGTTCGTGTGGATACGTTGGAGGCTTCATACGTTTGCCGCTACGTTCATCTCCTCAAAACCATCCCCGACCGTTCCTCCGTTCTCCATTTTCACTGCTAAGGTAAATTT